GTTATAAAGAATAAATTATAATGATTTGTATTCTAGCTTGATAAGCTTTAAAGTGATTAAAATTATGATAACATGTACTGATAATTAATAGCTAAGATCAAAATGCTAAAGCTGCACACTTGTCCGTCCGATCTGACTGATCGCGACTCTCCTGATAATTGAAGACGTGTTTTTTCAACCCGGCTGCCAATCGGCTGGAGTTCGGGGAACAGTTTCTTCTGAGTGGCATGAGTATCCATTCGTCCGGGAGACAAAGATAGAGCAGACTCAATGGCAACAAAATCAGCAGAGTCTTCAGTTTTGTCATTAATATCCGCAGCGGCGTCTTCGGAAGTTTTTTTGTCTTTGATTGAATGAATGAGTTCTGTTCCAGAAGTCAGATTATCTGTGATACGCGCACTCTGAACGCATAAGTCAGATCCGTTCTCTTTAGATTGACCATCGAGATTAACTGAATCGCCAGCTCTGTCGATTAGGCCAGTGGAACTGGTTGATTCTGGAGGCAAAGCAACCGAGGTAGTCGAGAGACAGGCATCGAACATGCGCAAGTCGAGGAAGATCAGATTATCTACCGAGTCAGCTAAAACAATTTGATGTTCAAAAGGCCATGCAATCGCCCTGTAAAAGCAGAGTTAAGTAAATAAAAAGGCAATTACGGAAGCCATTAGAGAACTAAGTAGTTGTCAAATGTCGTGAAAAGTGAATTTTCATCTGCAGTCTGCCAGGTTAGCCCATAATCTAATCTATTCTGCTCTACGGCAATAAAAAACCACTCATTTAACGGTCTTTCCTGAATAAGATCTAATCTTGTCCGATCATCTGGCTGGCGGACAAATGCAAATCGATCACCATCATCTGGTAAAAAGATTCACAAATTTTTTATCATTGAATTTTGTTTTTCCTATCAAGGCATTAAGACAAGCATGAATGAGAAGAGAGATTAGGGGTCAGCTCAGTAAATTTTAGAAGCATATCTGGCAATCCCAAGACGTTTGTGTCATGCAGGCGTCATAAACCACTTTAGCTTAACTGAATGGAAAAAAGCCAGTGACAGTAAACCAATAGGTTTCAAGAGCTAAAATTGCCTCAAAAAGAAACAAGGTTGCATTATATGAAGAAAAGATGACATACGTGAAAAAATGGGAATCAGTGAACTTGCACTTGGTCGCTGACCAACGGCCAACTTGTGTTGGCCAGCCAGACACGAACCCTGACTCCCGAAAATCGAACAGGCGGATGCAAGCTAAACCAGAGATGCCAGGCGCAATCATAGCTAGATGGCTATGTCTAGTCAAAGAAGGAGAAAGAGCTGCAGATACTCGTAAAGCAGCAGCTTCTTGATCGACTAAAACAGGCCAATTAGTTGGGAGAGCTGATGTAGTGACAACCGGCTCAATTCGGCCGATATCCCAGAGCTAAAATACATAGAAATGAAGGAATGAAGAGGTGTGTCCTAGTAGAAGATGCACAGTGAGTGATCCAAAATGCAGGA